GCAGATAATGTCTCTACCGCCACGCGAACAAACCGGTGCGAATGTACAAGATGTGTTGTATTCGGTAATTGAGCTGTCGCTCAAGACGAAGGGTCCACCACCAGCTAAAATGCCCTCACAAATGTCGAATGCGTCGTCTATGCATGGCGTGAAACCCAACATGGAACCACTACGTAGTCGCGGTGATCTCAGCAACAATAATAACAACTCTAACAACGATGTGACTATAGTCGGCGAATTCCGCAATGATGGTTCCATAGTGAAGCAGCAGGCACATGGACAGCCGATAGGCTTAAGCGCGCGCCAATCCAACGCATCTGCAGTTAATTCGGGCCAAGGTCCACCGGGTAGTCAAGGTCCACCTGGCGCTGTGGTACATCCGGATAGCTTGGCCACGATATCTGTGGTGAACTCCCATCTGCCACACCAGCATCTGCCACCACATGGCATGCTGCATCAGCATGAGATCAAGGCAACTATAACGCCCGTGGTGAAGTCTGGTAAGACGCCAACACCGACGCCTCAGCAGCCGCCAGACTCTATCCGATACACCATGCCCGCTGTCGCCGTGCAGCAGCATCGCAACAACGAACCCGAACCACAAACACTTGACCTCTCAATTAAGAAACCAGCGCGAGATGGTCCTTCGCCTCACTCTTCGTCCAGCGGCGTGAACTCCTCTAGCAACGATAATGGACCTCGCCATCAGCCACCACCAGGCGCAGTAAAGCATGTCGGGAACGCCGCATCTATGTATCGTGGTCCAGAATTGGGCCCGTCGAACCCAACGTATCTATACCATCCACATCCAGCGACCGTAGGCAAGGGACCGCATGGCTCTGTCTACATGCCGCAAGTACCTGTACCCATTCCTATAACGCAAGCAGGTGTGGGCGCACGATCTCAAGCGACCGGTGGGCAACCGCCCCCGCAACAACCGCCACCATCCACGCACCAGGCCCATATGCAGCTGCCACCGGGTGTAGTGGGCAACAGCAGCAAAGTAGGAGGTGCCAAAATGGCGCCCAAGCTGAGTCCACAGCTGATACATGGTCCGTCGCAACACGGCACAACGCCATCACCATCACAACAGCAGCAGCAACAACAGATGATGGTGGGTCCTAAAGGTTCCATAACACACGGCACTCCGGTCAATAATGCCCAACAGATAATCGTACACTCCTCGCCTGCGACACTGAGCCCTAAATTCGACAGCATCTTGCGTCAAACTCCACCGTCCGGCAGCGATGCGGGCAACAAACTTGGCTCCATCACACAAGGCACACCCATACATCTGCCTTCGCATCATATGGAGAGCAAACGTTCGTACGAATACTACAAATCGTCGCAGCGTCAAAGCCCTGCACAACAGCAGCAGATGCCAGTGGTCGGGCATCCAGGGGTGTTGCCGCCACCGCAACAGTCATCGCCTCAGGCCCCACCGCCGCAGGGCTATGGCGCCAATTCCCCGTACGCACGCTCACCCTACTCCGTTGACCAGTCGCCGGTACTGAGTACGCGTCAAATTGTCTTGCATGACTACATAACCTCACAGCAGATGCAGGGCCAACAACGAAACGTATCGCGTGGCAGCAGCAACAGCGCGGGAGGCGGCGGTTCAGACAAAGAGTCTCCATCGCCACGCAACAGCGTCAGTGGTCCCGGCAGCGCGCTGGTATTCTACGACAAGGAGCGTGGACGCACCGAATACTCGAGTCGGGCCTCGCCCGCTGAGCATGTCAACAGGTACGGAAAATCGCATTTGGTGAACTAAAAACTGTGATATTTGAGAACTAATTGAATCATATTTTTCACTTACAGTACGCCCAGTCCTCATCGCACACCACCGCCACCACGGCAAGGTGTCATACAGCGTCACAATACTGGCTCGAAGCCACCCTCGCCAGCCACGATACCCCAGAATCGCCTACACGTGATGCCGCACAACTATCCGCCAGGTCAGTACGCGCGTAGTACAGCACCCCACGCAAGCGTCACCCATTTAATGAAAACTTACATTCCTCCTCCTTTAGCCGGTCACGACGCCTTCTCTTCGTTTGTCGATGTGGCCGTACAACAGCCACAATTGCCGGTGCCATCGCAGCAGAAGGAAGAAAAGCAACTGCGACACGATGCGCCACCGCCACCACCACATCAACAGCATGCGCCGAGCACACAACCGCCGCACGCGCAACATGAGATACGCTACCAAATGATGCAGCTTAACTATCATCAACAGCAGCGAGCAGCCGCGGTAGCTGCAGCAGCTGCTGCACAACAACACCACCAGTACCGGCAACAAGCGGCGGCAAGTGCTGCCGCCAATGCGGATCTCCAGCGACGCATGCACGCGATCGAACGAGATCGAGATCTGCAGCAGAAGCGACAAGAGCGTGATAGAGAACGCGAGCGTGAGAAGGAACGTGAGCGTGAACGTGAAAGAGAACGTGAGCGTGAACGCGAACGTGAGCGCGAGAGGGAACGTGAAAGAGAGCGTGAGAGAGAGCGGGAGCGTGAACGCATGGTGGAATGTATAGCGGCGAATGAGCGCGATGCGGCAGGACGTCGCATGACGGAGCGAATGAGTGCGGTAGCAGCGGCGCAACATTACATGCGTGGCGGGCCGGAAAGTGGACCGCCGCGGGCAATACCCGATCGTGAAAGAGATCTGTAAGTGAAAAGTACTAACGAAATTCAATGAATTGTGTGTAAGGTTGTTACATATGTATGTGCAGCAAACATTTTTGTCAAGCATCAGATGAATATGTATCTCGATATACCAAAACAGATAAAATTTTTAATATTCAAATTAAATTTTAATATTTATTCAGTGTACGCCAGCAACCATCCATCCATCATTTATCTCACTCGCTCATCTTGTTTATTTGTTTCTCTCTCTCCTTTTCTCTTTCAAAAACTACGACAATTGCCAAAAATATTTGTGACATTGTCACCAACGCAATATTTCGTCCATCCATAAATGCGCTAACCATCATCATAATCACATTCAACGTTGACCGCATGAACACTATGAACGCCATGAATGCAATTTGCCATACTCATCTATGTGTACATGTTTGTATTTTCACTAACGCGCAGCTATCATAGGGCACCACCGGACAGTACATTGTCGGCGCAGGTCTTAATCGATGCCATCATAAAACAATCGATCATACAGGGCAGCTCAGAACCGAATCCAGCGAGCATGAATCGGCCATCATATGTGAGTATATCTCGTTAGTGCACCCAAGCGCTTATTTGTATTAAACTATAATCGTATTTTTCCCCCAGTATAACTCGCGTGAATTGCCACCCTCATCACGTCCTCAGCATCCTTCTGCTGCTTCATTGTCTGCTGCCGAAAATAATGGCAAGGCGAATTCACCCAATGTCATCAACATAGACTTGGATAATGATCGCGCCGGCAGCAGTACCAATCAGCACGATTCGCCTAGCGTGAGTGTGATGAATTCACGTGGCAGCGGAGTTTCGCATGGCAGTCGCAGTGGCTCCCAGGGCGGTCCACCGCCCGGCAGCTTAGCGCCACAACCAGGTGGCGCGCTGTTGCCACCCACCTCGCAGGCGCAGGCGCAAGCTCAAAACCAAAAGCAGTCGCAAATGTTGAAAACGAACATCACATTCGGTGAGTTAGCGGACTCTATTATAGCAAACGATTACTGCCCGAATCCGATGCAACTGCGTCCGCATGTCAACTACATGCCTTACCTGCAGGAACAGCAGCCGATCGTGATGACCGATCATTGGACCAAGTATAATCGTCGCATGCAGCATAAAGAAGTCGAAGCGGCAGTCGAGCGCAATAAGGCAGCTGCCGCCCAGAATAGCGGCGTCGGCGTTGCGGTTAGCACCAGCGGAGTCGTCTCCGGACAGCCGGGTAATAGCAGTGCGACGGGTGGCGGCAGCAGCAGCGGAGGACGCTCAAACACACCAGCGGACGAGCGCAACATTATACGCATGCAGCAGACGGTGAGTCCGCGCAAGTATGATTTGATGATGCAGCCACCACATGATCAGGCTGCCGCTGCAGCAGCCGCTGCAGTTGCTGCGAGTCATTACTACCATCCGCATGGCCCACCGCCCTCGAGTGGGCCGCCATCTATGAGTATGCATGCGCGCAGTGGTAGCGCTGGCAGTGGCGGATCATCTTCAATTCCCTCGCCGCATGATCAGCGCATGGCTGGCGGTGGTAGTGGCGGGACCGCTGGTGGTGGCATGCCAACAAGTGGCTCTGTGACGCAAAACCATCCATTCGATACAATGAAGTATGTGAAAAACCGTATTGTGGAAGTGATGCGCACTGAAGATGAAGAGATGCAACATCAACATTCGCACAATGATCATCGCGGCGGCGGCGGAAAGGATATGCACGATGGCCCAGTCGGCAGTACAATGCGTAAAACCCCCAATCAGTACGACGATGGTCGTGATGGTCGACGCGTGTCGGCTGTGTCGTCCAGTGGAGGTGGCGGTGCAGGCATTGGCAGCAGCAACAACAATGACACGCACCACGGCGTAATATCCTCGCAGCCCCCACCATTGGGCGCTTATCAGCCCCAAACTCCGGTCACAACATTCGCACCAACGACATACGCCTACCCCTACAGCGCGTTGAATGTGCCCAGCTCAGTGGCGGGATTGCCACCGCCCTCACAAATGACTTCGTCGCAGTTGGCTTCATTGGCGCACCAGCCACCCATATCACACATCGGCAAGCAGACGCCTGGGCATGGCTTGGGTGGCGTTGGTGGCGGTGTTGGCGTTGGGATGACGGCAGCAGGGGCCGTTTCCGCAGTAGCACAATCGAGTGGTGCATCGGCGATGGAGCCAAAACCGTTATTGTCAGCGCAATATGAGGCACTCAGCGACGAGGATTAGTTGTGACTGCAGGCGTCTGGACGAACGCCACAACAACAGCAACAGCCGATACAGCAACAGCTGTTGCAGCAGCAACATTCCCATCAGCAGCAGCAGCACCAGCAGCAGCTTCAACATCAAATGCAGCAGCAACAGCAGCCGGCGCAGCAATTGTGGCATTGTGAGCGTGAACGCATGCGACAGCAGCAGCAGCAGCAGCAACAACAACAGCATCAGCAGCAGCATATGCAACAGCAAAAGCTACAGCAGCAGCAACAGCATTATCAGTTGCAAGCAAATCGCAACTACAACAACAGCAATGGCAACAGCAACAACAATCACTATTACTAAAACTGAGTGAGAGAGACTGCACATGCTGTCACTGTCTGTTCGCTCCCCCCAGTTAGATGCGCGCCAGCGCTATTGCTGTAGCCTTAGTAGCTGCTATTGTCGTCATAGTCGTCGTTAATTTGTAGAAATAGTCCAGTAAACGCCTGCAGTAAAAAAATATAAAGATAACATAAATTCAATAGCCAACCAGCAAATACATACAAGTACTCATACATATATAAACACACATACTAATTGGACACAGTTTGCAAGGAAAGCAGCAAAGAAGCCAATATGATCGGGGCAATAAAAAATCAAGGGAATAGAGTGCAAACCGCAAATTTACATATAACTTTATTGAAGAGCAAAACTCTACGCTTGGAATATCTTAAGGAAATTTTTAAGTGTATATTTTCAATATTTAAGGTCGCAATTCTCTTCTAAAGAAGTTAAATTTTTTGAATCTTCAATTTGTAGTTGAGCAGAAAGCATTATTTACGCGAAATTGCAAACCCACTTCTGTATGTTCGAACGCGTTTTTAATTTTCAAAATATGAAAAACATTATTACAAAAAAAAATAAAGAAAAATTGTATACAGCGGCTGCCTGCACTCATGAAATGTGAAACTACATACATTTGCCTAAATTTGCAATGAGCAAACGATAATTGAAAAAAGATACATATACATACGTATACAATGTTGAACTTACCACATTTCATAAAAAAAGCTGCATTTCCCCCGAGATAGTTTAAGAGTTAGGAGAGTTGCAGAATCTTTTCAATCAGCTTAGGGTCCACATTATGCAACAAAATCGTTATTTAACAAAAAAATACTTTGCCATTATTTCAGATTAAAATTTTATAATTTTTTGTTTTCATTAATTATTTTCAGAAATAAGTTAAAAAAAGAATATATATAATTTGAATAAAAAATAGATTCGGTTAGAATTAAATTTGATTACATAATTGCTTAAAAAATTACACGCAAATTCATAAAAAATAAAGAATACTTTATATGCTTTATAAATCGAAAATATGTATGTATTAAAATGTCATTTTATAAAGCTCTTTAAGTCTACAAAACTTATTTCTCTTGAATAAGGCCATTCAATTTCGATGAAATTTATAATTTCTTTGCAAATACTTTTTTGTTTTGAGAAAACGGTACTAATTTTTAAAAATTTTGGCTTCGATAATATCGGAAAGAACATTATTATTTTTAACAAAAATTTCGATTTCAATATTCAGAGAATAAAAACTTCGAAATTCTCTTCTTGATTTTAGTTTAATTGGCTTTAAATATTCACAAAAAAATCGTCGATTTACTCAAATTTTGTTTAAGACAAATTTCTAAAAAGTCTCACCTGCAAACTCTTCAAAACCTTATAACTAGCTCAAAAATATTTGAAAATACAGTTCAGCACAATACATTAACAAAAACATAGAATTTCAAAGAAAAAAATACTACCAAAATGCAATAAAACAATCAAAACTAAGTAAACAAAAATAGGGCTACTAACAGCTAGAGCGAATGTGACCCACGCAGATATTACAAATTAGTTTTTGAAGGAAAGGTTATATTGAAATTGTAAAAGCTTTATTGAATAGGAAAGGAAAATTTGGAATTTTTTTTTTTTTTAATAAATATGAGGCTGTAAATAAATAAGCTGCGCACTTTAGACATACACATTTTTTAACAAAACATTTTATGTTTCCAACCACAAGTTCTATAAAAGCCACTATTTATGATAACTTCGCACTTTTTGACGCCAAAGACTTGTCTCTGCTTTGGCGGTAAAATTTAATTCTTACACCTCTTCACAGCTTCTTTCAGACAAAACTTTTTTGTACTTTTTTGACATCGTCTAAAAAAACTACAAAACAAATTTCTCTGTTTTGGCTAACAAAAATTTAGTTCTAAATTTTTTTTAACACAATTTTAAATTAATTGATTTGTACTTTTTTGACGTCATCTAAAAAACCTACAAAAAATTGTTTTGGTTTCGATTTTTCCACAATATAATTTTCTTTTTTCTTATGTTGGGGCAAAGAGCTTAAATCAGTTTTACATTTATTAAGATCAAGTTTGAAATTGTGCATTGGGAAGTGTACCGGCTAGAATATAAATATCCGAAAATTTTGAAAATGTTCTCATTAAAACTGCTTATATTATTTACATTTTTTTTTGAACTTTCTTATTTAAAAATTAATTTTTGTTAATTTTTTTAAAGTCTTACTTTTGTTTTTGTTTCAAAAATGTTTGTTTATAAAATTCTATATTATTTTCCTGCTTTTTTCATTTTTTATGAAATTTCTTAAAATACGTATACCTTTAAAACATTTTCTTGTCTACATAAATTTTACCAATTTATTTTTAGTTCGATCTTATTCTAGATAGATTTTTTCACTTTTATGAAACCTATGCGCAAGCAATAATGAACAAATTTCGAAAGTTCCTTGTTTTTAAAATCTTTCTATGAAAACTGATTTGTACTATCTGCCATGACACCTTTTGTAAAGCGCACGCGAAAATGCATTGACCGTACTTGCAAAAATACATTTTGTTTTTTTTTTGTTAAACTGATAAGGAGGATAAGGAAGAGAACTATAAATAAAAAACGCTAAGACTTATTGCAACAAAACAAACAAATAGTGAAATAAAAATATGTAAATGTAAAAGATAACGCAAAACATTGCTGATTTAATAATAAAAAAGCAAGAAATTAAAGTTATAAGCAACATTTAAGCATAAAGTATAATTATAAATTATAAAAAATATTGAAAAATTTCAATAAAAACGTATGGAAATCGGAGGAAACGCAAAAAGCTGCTGTTGTGCGCAGAAAATGTTTAATATTATATAAATATATACTTATAAATATATATATATAACCATTTAAGCTTTTCTATTCTACAATACAATACATTTAAATATAAAACATTAGTATACAAACATAAAAGTAATTTAATATTAATATAAACCCACAAGCATACATAAATAAATACATATATATTAATAATTACAACAATGAGAGACGACGAAACGCTTAAGTTTTTGCTATTCATACAAAAGGAAAAAAAAAATACAAAATACAATAATAATAAAAAATATATATAAATATATTTAAAAACTTTACATACCCTACTTAGTTAAAAAAAAATTTAAATGAGAGTTGCATAACGTGTAAAAATAATAATAATAGCCGTCGTCGAAGAGGATTAAGCGGAGGAGAGAATTTTGAAAAAGTTAATTTGTAGCATAGTGTAAATGGCAAGCAAGTTGCAAATTATACAAAGCATAGAAACGAAACGGGAGTTGGTAAATAATCAAGGCGTACTGAATTTAAAATTAAAATAAAAAAGAGAGGGGAGAAAAATGCGAAGAGAAAAAAATGCTGTAAATGTTGAAAATTGGAAATATAGTTCAAGTGGCGTATAATTAGCGGTGCATTGGCTTGGAGGTGCCAATGGGCTAAAAATGAACAAGTGGAAAAGGAAGAAAAAGACGAAGAGGTAATAGATGATGCTTAAAAAGTTTTTAAATTTCTGAAAGGTCAGAAAAAAAGTCAGCCAACAATGTGTAGAGTTGGAATAAAACATAAACAGCGCGCGTGGTGCTGTAGTGGAGTAGGAAGCGTCAAAAAATAAAAAATAAAGAGAAAAATAACAAAAATAAAATGTAATAAAAAATTTAAATTAAAAAATAGTAATTAACTTATATTTAGTTTGTAATTATGCCTTAAGTTGTAAGCTTGTGGATATATACTGAGCAGAATGCGAGCAGAGCAGACATGTAAAAGAATATAAATATAAAAGGAAAAAAAAACAAAAAAATGTGAATAATTAAAACAAACACTTAAATTTAAAAATACTAAAAATACATTAAAATAAAAACCTACATTAAAATAAAAAACTCGTATATATAAAAAAATTATAAAACAGTAATCTAAAAGTAATATATACACTTATAAATATTATTATTAAATACATACATAAAATCAGCATAAAGTGTGTAATAAAAACAGAGCGTAATTAAAGAAAGTGAGAAACAAAATGCAACAAAAATAATAGTAAAAATACAAAAAATTAATAAACAATTATATATAAATATGATTAATATGAAATATTGACATCAAGCAAAGCAGTTAAATCACATATACACGCCCCTTACACAACAACCAAACACATTCACATACATACAGATCACAAACACATACAAGCCAACTTCAAAATTTAATAAAACATAAGGCAAAATATTAAAAAAATCAGCCGCTAGTTATTTAGTTTATAAAAAAAAAATATAACTGAAAAATCAGCAAGCAGCCGTAGCTAGCGTCAGCGTATTACTAGCAAGGAAAAACACACACATGCACCCACAAACAGCTCGCCCGCCCCTTGCATTCTTATACACACACACATACACATACACACACCTAAACGCATACCATGAAATAGTTGGAAAACGAAGCAAAAATTTAATTTACCTAAAAAAAAATGTGTAATGAAATAATTTGTATTGGTTAAGTGTGTAAAGAAAGCGTAATCACAAGTGAAAATGGTGTATGATGAAATTCTGAAAAAATAGTAAACAAATGTTAAGTTTCATTTTAGACTCTAAAACCGTTAGTTTAGTTCAATTAGTTGCGTTACATTTAACTTTTCAGCTGTGTTTGTTTGGATTGTGCATTTATTTTGTAACTGAAGAAAAGAAAAATGCTGGTAATTTTCTATTCTAAATGAAATGTATATTTTTTCTTCACGCAGGAGAGAGTGGGGGAAGTCTAATACTTTGTTATTTTTTTTTGTGAAAGTATTAGATAAAAAATTGTTTCGTTGGGGAAGAAATTGGCTACAATACAATGCAAATTAATAAAGTATAGTAAATGGGGTTTTTTTTTTTTTAATTAAAATTATTTGACATATCGACGCCTCCAAACCCTACCATGCTAAGTTACCTTAGACTTAGTCAGACTTAGCAAAGTATGGTCTGGGGCCGTCGATATGTAAATACAAGTTTTTTAGTAAAAAAAAATATATATAATTTTTTTAACAATGTTATGTTCATATTTGGTTTTTTTTTCATTAACAAATTACAGTAATTTAATTAAAACTTTATACGGCCTTATTCATAAAAACAAAATAGATTTAAACATTTTTTTTGAAGTGACATATTCACATAATTTTTCGGTTTATAAAGCAATTTAAAATTATTTTATTTTTTGTGAATTTCGGTGTTTCCTTTTTTTTTTTAATTTTTCCAAGAAAATAATTAAAATTTGGGAAGGAAAAGTATTGTAAAAATAAAAAGTACATTTTTTCTATTTTTAAACTTTTTTATAATTTTTATTTCATGACATATTTTTTAAATTTATTACTTTATCAAATAAAATTAAAGTTTTTGTTATCCGAAATAAACTAGTTTAAATTTTTTCTACTCCAGATTGTAGTCCGTATGTATAAATAGATACTTTCGACCGCCAATGTTTAAGCTCGGCTATTCAGAGACGGTTCTAATGGCATTTTCTTTTGTACAAAAAATGTTGCGTTGTTATTGCCCTCTCCTTAGTATTTGCGTGAAGAGGGCAACGAGAAGGTAACATTTTTCGGTAGAAAAGAAAACGCCTAACGTTTACATTTCATCGCAATTTATTTTTAAATGCTTAAAAGTAAAAAAA